CCAAAGTATACCAATATATATATATATATACATTATTTGAAAACAAGTAAAGTGTGTACTGTTTATTCATCATTGAATTTATCACTAACAAGTCACAGATACCTACTGTAGAAGAATCCTCAGCCCAACAACTACATACTATATATTTATACTATTAAGAAATATAAGTAAAAGCCATTTACTTTGATAATTGGCAAAACGAAGAACTTATATATATATATATATGTATTATTATTTTTTAAAATCTGACAGTTAACAATTCAGTTACCTTTCATACAATCTGTCCTCCTCCCCATATTATACATGTTGCAATTGGACCCATTTGAATCAGATTTTATAATTTATTTTATTCAGAATTACACATACATAATGGTTATCTGCACATAGCTATCCTTAATTATGAACTGACAAACAGCAGAGATGGCAGTTAGTATACAGCACACACACACTAATAACTTGTTTGATCAAATAGTGGGATTTGATCATCAATTTTACAGAACAACCATGGACCTAAATTGTGGAGAAAATTTTTGCAGCATTAAATTTCAAACATACTAATGAGAATAAGTGCTTATTGTTCACTATATTCTAACACTTTATTATTCATGTACATTAGCTCTAGATAAAATATGTGTGTGTGTAATTCACCTCAAAAACACAACAAAAAATTTGTTGAATTACATGCAAGCCTTAATTACAAACTTTCACTACTTCTAGAAAATTCTGCAAGCAAAAGAGGCTTGTTGATTTTGATATAACTATCATATAGTTTGTCCCAAGGTTATGGTGTCTAATTGTACAGAAAACCTTTATGTAAACAAGTTTCTACTGTCCTCAAAGTTTGTATGTCTGTGAGATAATTATATCAAGTCATTTCTTTAAGATATTTTTGTTCAAGCACTTTTATTTTTTGGTAAAATGAAAATACTTAACACTGAATCTTTACTTCAGTGACTGTCAAGGTTTATTTTCATTAAAAGATAAAGAAATCAGGCCTTCCTACATTACCTACGTCACAAATAGAATGCTAGTACAACACATTTATAATATAATTAGGTCTATTTAATATTTTACATTATAACAAGTATATAATAAATTTTGTAAAATTGCTCGTAAGCACATTCCATTTGGAGTAGTTTTTATTAATAAAATGTATACAGGAATGTCATTTTAGAATCAAGTTTTAACTTACCTGTGCATTATATAAGCAGTTATTAAAATTCATTTAGCACTGCCACATTTTAAATGTATATTAAGGAGTATAAAATGAAACCAATGTATTACTTTACTTTAAAAATATATTTTGTAGCTTCCAGAGAGCTGATTCACACATGATGCTTCATTTTCAATATTTATCATATTTAATGACACTAAAACATGCTAAAAATGGAAATACCAATATATTTTCTAAGACAAAAACTTACATTTTGTTAAATAATATATACAAGTAAATACTAGTCCAAAACATGTATGTAAAGCACATTACTTACATGATGTTAAATATATTTATTAGAACAGTAGGTCTTCTGTTCTACATCTGATACTTTACAGCTCTTCAGTAATGTTTAATATTCTCTTCCAACAACCACTTTTCAATGAATATTTCTTCATCCCAACAATGTTGATAAATAATAAACTCCATAGCAACTACTCCTTGTCAAATTAATCTTTTACCAGTAAATCAGAAATCAGTAATTCTTTATTCACACAATGATCCTTCATTATTAAATTGAATATCAGGGTTTCTTCATCCCAACAATGATCTTTCACTAATAACTTATATGCCAACATTTCTATTTCCCCAAGTACTGAAAATGGTCTTTCATTTATAAGTTGGATGCCAAGTACTGATATTTTACTAGTAAGTCAATTACTAACACTTCAAACTAATAAAACGATCTTTCATTAATAAACTGGATAACATGTTATCATCCCAACAATAAACTTTCCCTGGTAAATTGGATATCAGCATTTCTTCATTTCGACAATGTTATTTCTCTAGTAAGTTTAAAATTTTTTCATCCCAACAATGTGTTTTCACTGAATAAACAAGTTACCAACACTTTATCATCTCAAGAATTATCTGTCACTAGTTAGTTGGATATCAACAATTCCTTTATCCTAATTATGATTATCTGCTAGTGAATTGGATGCCAACAATTCTTCTTCCCAAGTACCGATACTTTGCTTGTAAGTCAGTTACTAACTCTTCTTCATCAAGACAAGGGCCCTTTAGCACAATATAGCTGATATATTATTCTACTCAAAGCTGGTCCTATTTTCCTAGTTTGAAAAGAGAAAAACTTAATGAAAGTTCTACAGTTTATATTTTCTATTTCAATTACTCTTTTGTTATCATATATATTAATGTGTGTCGTGAAATTACTTATAACCTAAAACAACCAGTGAAAATGATATCACAACTGTTTGAAGTTATTTGATAAACCAGAAAGCAGCTTTCAAACAGATGAACATTCCAATTGTTATCTAAAATGTTCATAAAATTTATGCTCTATAAACTTATACATAAATTTTATTAGCTTTTAAGGATTGTAAAAATCACTTTAAATCAATGGTTCTCACATTTTATCCACATGAATCAAAGTAAATTCTAATAGAAGCTAATTTTATAGTGCATAAGTGCTATTGACATATACACTGTATATATAATTATGTAAGATAAGATTTTAAAATAAGATGTCAGTTTTATCTAATCAAACATGTATATTAATTTTTTCTACATTAGAATACAGAAAATCATTCTTTACCATTACAGATCCTTATAGAATGCTCACAGACATCCATTAGGGGCCTGTGGATCACAAGATGTGAATCATGGGTTTTAGTTATTTTTCTACAACCCCTTATAGAATGCTCACAGACATCCATTAGGGGCCTGTGGATCACAAGATGTGAATCATGGGTTTTAGTTATTTTTCTACAACATTAAATAAAACAAAAATTAGAATATAGTTTATTTTTTTTACTTTCATTACTTTTTTTGATATTATGTTTTCAAAATCAACACTTGCCTATTATTTTTTCCATACTTGATTGAAGAAATCAGTTTTTCTTTTTCACTGTCACTTAAACACCTGTCATAAGCTTCCAGAAGTCTACAAAAGTTAGAAAAGTCATTAATGGAAAATTATGAAATAATTTATTCTCTTACAAGAAGTTCATTATAATGAGTTTAACTGTCAAATAAAATAAAAATGGTGTGCAGTCAAAATGATAATCTAAGAAAGATAAATGACACAGGCTTGTAAACTTAAACTTCTTAAAAGTTGTTTTGGTTTTAATTACAGATTTTCCATAATATAGCTATGTAGATTTAGAAAATAATATTAATATTTTGCTATCATGTAAGGATCTTTTACAAATCAGGAAGAAAAGAAAAACTCTTATTTAGATCAAATTATTACTTTGTTTACCATAATGAACATTTATTATTATTACGTTTGTTAAAAAAAATACAAACAAAGTGAAGAAAAGGGAAGAACATTGATGTAAAACAAATATGCATCCTCATTCATCCTGATTTTTATTGTGAAGTCTATGTCTTTTACTCTCAAAACTATGTGTTGTGGTCCTTCTTTTATGTATTGCATTATGATGTTTTGTGAAAAATCTGTACGTGATGGAGAAAATTAGACATCATTTTCGGATTCAGCATACAGGAATTACTGTAGAACACGTAAAAATTTTGAGACAATAAAACCATCACAAGCCTGTGTGATTCAAAAGAAATTATCGGTTAAAAAAAAGGTCCAATTTAGAAAAAGATCAGTTCTAATAAATACTTAAAACAACCTTAAAAACAATCAGTTATAAAACATATAGTATTGGAAGAATTCTGGAAACAGCAAATTAATAAAAAAAAGAAGATAAAAACTAACATAAAAGGCAAATACTACTTTTATAGTGTAAAAATGAACTACATCAATGTACAGTAAAGTGTTAATAGTTTACACTGTAACTGGTTGTCATCCAACCAATTAGAAAGTGCCACTCCAGAGTAAGGCCCATAACAGTACAGTAAATTGTAATATGTCCAGAATTAGGTACTTATGTGACTCTATTCATGGTTCTCAGGACTGAAATAATGACAAGCGTATAGATCTGAAAGTTCTGGCTAGTCAAAGACACTCCATACAAAAAAAACTGCAGGAATACTTCATGTTTCAGTAGAAGCTATATGCATGACTCTGCACAATGCATGTTAAACTAGAACTGTTAGTAATAAAAGCAGTCAAAGCAGAAAGCTTAAACTCTCCAAAAAATAGTGTTCACTGTTTTAGAGCATGTTCTTCATGAAATAGATAATGGTCATGTACTGATCTTACCTATGACCTTGATGTAAATACAGGTTGAAAGTTTATCTTGAAAACAGTAAGATACAGATTTTTATGAAATGGTCTCATTGAATGTGTAACTACTTGAAATCCACTGCTGAGAAGAGCAATCAAACCAAAAGGTTGAAGTATGAATCAGACCATAAACAGTGGAATAGGCAAAGCTGGAGACATGTGCTCTTTGGAGACAAATCCAAGGTTGAATAGTTGGGCTAAAATCAAAAATAGTTCAATCAATGGCAGAGAGAAGAATGGAATTACAGTAAATGTACAACATTTACAGTGAACCAAGCTGAGGAATGATCAGAGAAAGTTTGGGGCTGCATTGTAGAAACAGCATTTGTGATATACACAAAATTGATGGCACCCCAACTGTTGACAAGTACATGTAAATTCTAATCCATCAACAACATAGCTCATTATTTGCAGGATTCATCTTCTAGTAAGATAATTATCCCAAGTATCAAGCAAATTTTGATGGTAAATAGGTTAATGGAGCACTCACAACCATAGTAATATGAAGATTCTTGAAGCTGTGTGGGTTTATGTAAAAACTAAGGAGGCCAAAAGGCAACCAAATAACTTGTCTGAATCGAGGGATAAATATATGAAATATATGGAATAAGTGTTTCATAATTTTATATTTATAAACTGTATCACAGCTTGAAAGCAAGGTTTAGTGCTCTGTGTAAAGCAAAGGGCTCATATACAAAATAGTGAACTGTACAGTCTATTCACTTTTCTGTGATAATTTTTTGTATCATTAATTAATTGAACACTTAGTTACTTTTACTCATTGTTTCTGACTTCTGTATGTATATCACTTTATGTTTCCATAATTATTTCAATTAATGTATAGATCCACCTTAAATAAAAATAAAATTGAATTTAAATCATATAGGGTATGCCCGAGAACTTTCTGTTACAAAGTTATAGTTCAGTGGTAAGTCTGCATGCTTACAATGCTAAAAACTGGGTTTTGATACCTGTGATGGAGACAGCATAGATTGTCTATTGTGTAGCTTTGTGCTTACCAACAAACAAACAAAGTTACAAAGAAACAATCTAAATCTAACATTTTTTTTTTTTTATGTTACACATCATCAACAGAAGACATTTCTTGAGGCTTTAAAAACAAAACATACATGATTTTATGAAATAAAAACATATATATCTAATTTCAATGAAAATATAACTGTTTAGACTGTTTCTTAAGTGTAGCTCAGATAATGTGGAGAGTAAGCACACAACTCTAATCATACACATTAGTTTCTGATACAATGTCAGTAAACTGAGCACAATTAGAAACAACTTGGTAAATGTATGATGTTGGTAAGCAATAACCTCAGAAATGATTAGTTGAGTTTGAGAAGCAACACTTAGTGAATTCTAGAATCTGACAAAATTTGAAAGAAAACAATTGAAAAGTGCAGAGATAACACAGATTTTGCTATCTACACAGACATGGGTCTACTGATATAATGTGGTCGTGAAAAGAATCCATGGAACAGTGATATGCTGTATTATATCTGTCAAAGGTGAACATGACCAAAGGTAACTTTTTCATCAATTATAAGTCAAGTTCTTATTTCTTAATAACAATATTTCTTGAAACATGTTACAAGCAATGATATTAGACTTAGTAAGAGTGAATAAAGAAAATAATTGAATCTTCACAAACCGGGGTGAAAAGAAAATATGTTTCTGAATCTGAAAATGTATAAAATAAGCAAGTTATATGAAGGACTAAAAATGAACATAGAGAATGAAAATAAGCAAGTTACATACAGGAATGAAAAGAAAATGCAGAGAATAACATATATGAGGGACAAACAAATGTGGTGAAGAAGATGAATAGGCAAGTTATAAGGGGACTAAGAACTGATACAGAGAAGGAAAATAAGACTGGTTTAATTTCAAATGAGACAAGCTGATAGTTATGTAAACATAAACTAAGGACTTTTTAAAATATTAGGAATATATCAAGATCCTTCAGTGACTTTACTTCCAGATAACATTACATGTTTATCTTTACTTAAAAATATTTCATCTGAACTGCAATACGTAATCTGAGTATAACATACCTGGTTAAAAAAAACAAGATGTAACTTCATAACTACCAACTGACCTTAGCTGAGAAAAAATTAATACAAATTAATCTAATAAAAAAGAACTGCATTTTATGTTTATCTTCTGACAAGAGAAATCAAGCCATTAGGGATGGTAAGGAAGATGATGGAGAACAAGAGGAGGTTCTTCTGACAAGAGAAATCAAGCCATTAGGGATGGTAAGGAAGATGATGGAGAACAAGAGGAGTTCTTCTAGACAAGAGAAATCAAGCCATTAGGGATGGCAAGGAAGATGATGGAGAACAAGAGGAGGTTCTTCTGACAAGAGAAATCAAGCCATTAGGGATGGCAAGGAAGATGATGGAGAACAAGAGGAGGTGAATTTCTGGAACACAATTAGCTTTTATAGATATGTGAAATTAATGAATTATCTCTGTTGTAAAACACTGCCCCTGTTGTAGAACCTCAGTGAATCTGGATGATAAAACAAAATATGTAGCTGAGACTACAAGGGCAGGTAGTAGCTAATTGCTGGCTGACACAATCAATCTGACTGTGTAAATCACAAAGACATATTAAAGTAACATAATACAAAAACAGATTTCACTACCAGTTAACAAACTCGCAAAGGAGTTAATGTATAATAACTATAAATTATACCTCAGAATTTTGCAAAAACTAAGTACATTAATTTCTAGTCTCATTCAAGGTTAGTGACAATGAATCTTGTACACTCACGTGACAGGAGTAGGATAGTGTTCAATTATAGAAGCAGCCTTGTCAACAGACAATCCTCGGATTTGTAAAAGTTGCTTCACAAACACTTCTTTTACTGTCATTGGCTGAAAAGATAAAAACTGTATATTATATAGGGTTTACTGCAAGTTGCTTATCATGTGGAATAAATTTTATTCTCATTTTTCTGATGAAGTAACGATATTTACCAGGAGTGGGTTAGATATTCAACATCTAAAAACTTTAGGTTTTTACAACAGTTACAAATATTTTATTTACAAAATAATGACAAACAGATAACTGTTACTGAGATCTTATTAACCTATCATTTTTGATCAAGCTGAAATTAAAATACTGACAGAGTAACTTAGTTTACTATTCTAAAAACATTTGTTATTACAGGTATGTGGCAAAAATACAACATCACAGTAATGGAGTTATAGAAAACACAAAATTCAGTGTTAAGATTTACTTTTCAGAAGATCAACTGCTCTATTACTAATCAAGTTTAATCAGCTAACAGATATAACAGAATACAGATTCAAATTCATAAAAAGAATACATTTTACAAGATGTCAATACATTTAAAGTAGAGTCTAGATAACTACTAAATAATTTATATGATAAACTTAGATAACAGAACAGTTTCTTAGAGACCAAAAAGAACTAACTGTCAATATGAGCCAAACATAATATATATAACACAAGCTGAACCAGCAGTGTCTTGGATTTCATATCCACAACAAAGAGTTGTTCTGTAAGTGCTTGAAATTTAGAATTATAAGACAAGGTGCTGCCAGATAGTTGCCTTCCTTCCAGTTAGCAGATCAAAAGGAGGGGAGGGGGGAGATAAAAAATATGGTGACAGATGCTGCTATCAAGTTTCTTTCCCTCTAGTCAGCAGTTCAAGATGAAAAAAGTTGATGGCAGATGATACCAGATAGTTTCCTTCCCTCTATTTAGATTCAAAAAGAAAAAGTAAAAAGTTGGTTGTGTCCTCTAGTCAGAAGTTAAAAATTACTCACTCGACAGATGAAGAAAAAAGTTGATGGAAGGTGGTGTCAGACAATTGCTTTATCTCTAGTTAGCAGTTTATTATTTTGATTTTAAAAGTTGAGGTAAAGACTACAGCTAAGTAGCCAGTAAGAGAGAGAGAGAGAACCGTCCAGTGAGAGAAAGAAAAGAAAGTCAGCTGACAGTCCAGACTGACACCCTTAAGAAAACTATGACAGAAACCTGATATTATCCAACTTCTATGCAAGTTTATATTGCCATCTCATACTAGTTCTAATAATATTTATCTGATATATTTGCCAAAACAAGATTAAAAGTCCTGATTGACTTAGTGGTTCAAATAATAATTATCACTGATTATTTTCGAAAAGCTGCTAACAAATAACTTATTAAGGTAAAGCAGATTCATATTTTGTGATAAATAGTTTCTGGCTAATTCTTTGTTCTTTAGACAAACTTTCTCAAGTACGTGAATTGTGCACTCACAATTGCTTATCCTGGTATTTAAATAAAAACAATTTTTAATGGTATCAGCTTACTTACCATTTGCCAATTACAAACTAGTGCAGTGAACCAGGATTTTGAGTTAAACAAAACAGGTTGTAAAGAATAAGGAAAGGAAGTTGAGGTAAGATGATTAAAATTAGTCTAAGCACAAATAAGTAGATATGGCTACAGCTACTGGAGAAATTAAAACAGAAGTTGCATGACCTAGAACTAATATAATAACAAATGCAGGCTTAGAAGCCACAGCAGCTCCACAAGTACTGCTAGCACTATAGATCAATGTGATGTTACATATTTAATGAGTGCTATACCACTATTCTATGATTAAGTTGAGGAGGATATTGAGAATTATATTGATATGACTGATGAAGCTGCTAGAATATCAGACCAAAAAGATGCGCAAAAATCATATATTCATACAGTAAAAGCAGTGGATGAAGCAAAATGTTTACCAGAGCTAATAATGAATTAAGTATAACCCCTAACTTTAACCTGTTAGGGGAAAAATTGCTGTAAGAGTATAGAAAGCATGAAATGCTAAACACTATTATGACACAGCTAAGAAGGGCAAATCTATTAGAGTATTTGTTCATAAACTTCAAGAGTTAGGTAATAGACTGAGGAGAGTTTATGTACACCATAATGAGCTGATGATACAGGACACACTAAAATCTAATTATGAGAAGGAGCTGAACAGTAACTTGATACGATTAAATTTGAATGAAGCAAATTCACCATAGGTAACACTGATAGATTTAACCAAAGCAACTACCAGTGAGGAGCCACAAGAAAAATACGTATATGAACCTAAATACTTCCATATCATTACTTTAAATTAATGCATAGTGTATTAAAGCAAGATTTCGTAAAAAATTATGACAATGAAATATTCATTACCAGAAGTAAGCTGCACATAGAAACACAGATCTTTTGATGTCAGTTTCTATGAAAAGAAGTAGACTATTTAGGTCATGTGGTAACCACATAAGGTGTAAGACTAGGCCCAAAGAAGTAAGAAGTATGTAAGAATTACCCAGTACCAAAAACAGTAAAAGACATATGTATTTCTTAGATTTCTAAGCTTTTATAAGATATTTATTCTACATTTCACAATGCTAGCAAAACCTTTAATCCTCTCGCCATGGACAGGTAAAAATGTGCACGTCAAGATCAAAATCTAATTAAACTACTATCTTTTTATGGTATACAAATAAATTTGGCATCATAATGTAGATAATAAATTAATTTTAATATTATATACATTTTAATTTCTTAATATTATAAGGAAATATGTAAACAAAATAAGAAAATTCTCAATCTCCACTAGTATGAGAATTCAGACATTTGCTCTCTAGGTCTTCCCTTTATTTACCACCCCTCCGAGAAGTAGGGAATTTAATGTAAATTACTCATTATAATATAGTTATTACTCAAGCAGAGAATAATTTTTATAGCCTTCAATCTAATGTTATTTGTTTGCGGAGCCATAAACTAAAACATCAGACCCATTTGACATGCCCATCTGTCATATTTTCTGTTTCAGAAACTGCTAAGAGATCTCTCTGACATTTGATACTATAATATTTACAACCAACAGAAAGTGAAAGTTTTAATCTATGAAATTACTATTATATTATGTTTTCTGTACAAGGAATTGTCTATTTCACTTCAAGTTCAAACTTTATTCCTACAGAAAACACACCAATGAACTTGGTTGAATTTTAAAGCTCTTTAAACCCATAAGTTTTTGCACATTCTGCCAGAATTATTTTCACGATGTCTAAAAATTATCATCATACCATTTAAAATAGGTGGATAAAAACATGGTTTGGATTAGTTTTCAGCCAAAGTGACATAAATGTTATTGGACGCTGTCACCATATAATGGATAAATTATGATTTTTGGCTGGATGTTGCCAGCATTCACACGAGTTTATGAAGTTAATGACTCTTATCGCATGGTTAGAAAGCCAGAAAATTATGATAGTTATAGGACATTGTCTATTTTTATATGTTATTATTCTGCATTCTTAGGTGCATTATTTAATTAAATAAAACATTATTTAGTGTAGTAGTACCATTATTATAAAAAAGTAGGTTTAAGTGTATTGAAAATCAACAGCAAAAGCAAAGAAAACCCACGAAAGTACTATATTTTTCATGTTTCATGTATATTTTTTATTTATTATTAATATAAGATTAACTAAAATGTAAAAATTAGAAACATATTAGGTTAGATTAGGTAAGATAAAGAAAAATAATAATAAAAATTATTCAGAAAGTATGCTCATGAGTAGCTCATGTATTATATAAAATGATACAGTAATGTGAGTTACATGTTTTCCAAGTGATTTACAACTTTGATGGGATTATCAGTTAGAAACAGTTCAAAAGGCAAGAAAACAATAAAATTTAAGTAGAAACAGATGTATACTGTTATAATTTGCAGTCATTCTTGAAAGAAAAAAGGGTAACTTAGATTTATTTTGCATTTTTTTATGGTAGTTATGAGGTATGTCAAATTGACCAAATGTGTATAGAGTTAGGGTAGAGAAAATAACAGATAAATTATAAAGTTTTATGGAAACAAAAAACATCTGAAATTTATTTAGGAGGTTTTAGAGATTACACAAATGAAATTTGACAATTCTCAGATGAATAAAAGTATTTTTAATCTTAACCTGAAAAATCCCTTTGCACTTGGAGCAGTCAATACTTTCATTTCATATATTCAGAGAGAAATGTTTAGTAAAAATAATGAATTAAAAATGATGATTTTTTGTCTACAAAAGACTTGTAATGTTTACTGATAAACTGGCAAAATTTCCTGAAGATACACAAAATATGGTAAAAGTTATAGTATAGAAACTCTTAAACGTCAATTTGGGGTCATGAACTCAGTCAAAGCAACTGAGCTCATTGGAAGAGAGTTAACCAACTAAGAATGACAGATTTTCAATGGAGAGATGAAAGACAAGAAGCATTTTAAAAATTATGAGATACACTGTTAAAAGCACCTATTTTGAGTAACCCTGATTTCAGTAAAGAGTTTATTCTAAGTACATATGCTCCAGATTTTGGTATAGGAGCAGTATTAGCACAGCTACACAAAATTGGGAAAGAACACCTTATAGCTTATCAGAATAAACAGCTAGTGTTTAGCAGTAGTACATGGTATCAAAGACATTCTGTTGTTATTTGTATGGTAAAAAGTTGACCATCATTAAGGCTCATGCATTCCTAAGTTAGCTAATGACCTTAAAAGACTCATTGTCTAGATTAGCAAGGTGGTCATTATTACTACAGAATTATGATTTAGAAGTTATACATTGACCAGGTAGTAAGTACTCTAATGTTTGTCCATTAAAAACAGAATTAGAGTAGGGAATGCAGAAAACAATTCAAAACAAGTGATTAACAAAATTAAAGAAACAAGAACCAATAGTGAACATAATTACGGTGTAGTATGGGACTTAGATTATGTTGCTAATGAGCAAAAAGAAAGATGCAGCAGTAAATATGTTAATAAACAGAGTATTACAGAGAGAAGATATAAAATATATGTTAGGTTCAGAAGTATTATGCA